TGTTTAAATATTTTCTGCAGTTTGACTTGTTACTGGTTTCTAGTTTATTCTATTGTGCTCTGATAAAGTTCAGGAAGTTATATTATTTCTTATAATTGTCAAGACTTGCTTTATTTCCTAAAATATGATCTATTTTGGAGAAAGTTCCATGGACTGCTGAGAAGAATTTGCATTCTGTGGCTGTTGGACAGAATATTTTGTACATGCCTGTCATGTCTATTTGTTGTAGAATGTTCATTACTTCTGAAGTTTCCTTGTTGATTTTTTTTCCTGAATGACAGTGGGGTACAAAAGTCACTTTCTATTATCATGTTGGGATCTTTTTGTGCTTTTATGTCCTGTAGTATATGAAACTGCATGCACTGACACTTAGTGTGTATGAGTTTACAATTGTTCCATCATTTTGGTAAGAGTGTTTCCTTCATCAATATGAAATGACTTTCTTTGTCCTTGACTAATTTTTTTGTTTTAAGTTATCTTTTTCAGATAGCCACTCCTAATTGCTTTTGGGCTCCATTTGCTTGCTTGGACAGTCTTTTTCCATCCTTTCACCTTAAGCCTATGATTGTCTTTGACAATGAGATGAATTTCTTGCAGGCAATAAATATTTGGGTCTTGGTTTTTAATCCAATCTATAGTTTGTGTCTTTTAATTAGAGAATCAAGGGGAGAATTAGAGGGGTGGGAGGGAGGGGGAAGGGGCAGAGTGGGTGGTAAGGGAGGGGGTGGGGGCAGGGAGGAGAAATGACCCAAGCCTTGTATGCACATATGAATAATTAAAAAAAAAGACCATTAATATTCAGTTATTTTTGCAAAGTATTTAGTAATTTCTGCCATTTTGTTGTTTTTGTAGTGTTTGTTTCTTTCCCACTCCTCATTTGCTTATCTAACCATTTAGTGAAATTGATTCTTTCTCTTATTTTTATTGTTTTATGGTATTTAGCTTCCTCTTTTGTGTGTAGGATTCTGTTAAGTATCTTCTAAAGCATTGATTCAGTGGTCATGAATTGCTTTAGTTTTTGTTTATCATGGAAGGTTTTTATTTTTCCTTCAATTACGAAGGATAGCTGTGCTAGATATAGTAATCTAGGTTGAGAGCTACTGTCTTTCAGGGTTTGAAATACTTCAAATGAGCTACACCTCCTGGCCCTATGGTATTTTTCATTTATATCATTTCTTTTTGACTTTCTTAGTTTCCATCTCTCTGCTTATATTACTCATGCATTTTTTCATGTTATCCTTTTTTTTCCCATTAGAGTCCTTAACATATTAGTCATAACTATTTTAAATTCTCTGACATGGTAATTCCAAAATCTGTGTACTGCCCCTTCTCTCAGTTTTGTGCCTAGCTTCTCAGAATCCATTATCTTTTAGTCTCTTTTTCCAATCAATGAATGTGGGCTACATTCATTAACTTAAAAAAAGAAAATTTATTCTGACCAGTTATGTCTTTTAGTTGCCATGTTCATGCCATTTATATTGAATGTCACTACTGACAAATTTTGGAGTTATCTTCTCTGTTTCCTCTTTTCTGCTTTCCTTTGGAATTTACATGATCTTTTAAAATACCCATTTTAATTTATTTATTGGCTTTTAACTATATGTAGTTCATATATTTCTTTTAGTGGTTGCTGTATGGGTAATATACAATACAACTTTAAAATGACTTAGAGTATATTTTACCACTTCAAATGAAATGTAGTAACCTGAAAACCATGCAAGTCCTTTTAACTTTTCTTCTCATCTATAGTAGTTCACATACATAGTGCTTGTACATATATTGAATAGTCTACCAAACTGTATTGTAATTTTTGCTTTTAACATTGAATAATATTTTACAGAGGAAATTCTTTCCATACTCACCCACGTATTTACTCTTTGTTTCGGAAGTTCCAAGTTTCCTTGGATATCATTTCTCCTCTGAAGAACTTTAACATTTCTGTTAGGGCAGGTTGCCAGCGACAGTTTTCTTGTACCTAAGAATGTCTTTACTTCACCTTTCTTCCTGAAGGGCATTTTGCTGATAAGAGAATTCTAGGTTGACAGCTCACTTCTTTCAGCAATTTGAAAATGCTTGTGCTATTGCCTCACTAGTTCTCTAAAGAAATCCAGAAATTCAAAAGCATTGTTTCTGTACATGTAATGTGTTGTTTAGGGGAAGTGGAGGTTCTTGCTTCCTTTAACATTTTTAAACTTTTTTTTTTAGTTTTCAGCAGTTATAGTATAATGTGCTATAGCATAGTTTTTTTGAGTTTATCTTCAATTTTAGTGATTAGTGAACATCTTTGGTTTGTAGTTGAATGTATCTCACCAAATTTGAGGGCTTTTCTGCCACTATTTGTATGAACTCTTTTTTTCTGTGTCAAATTTTTCTTTGCTCCATCTGGAATTAAAAAAAATTTGAATTAGATTTTTTAGGTGTCTGTCTATACTCACAGAATAATTTCTTAACCTTCATTCTCTCTTGAATCTCCTCTGATTGTGTTTCCACCAGAACTATCCTAGTCAAGTCTACCAGTGACCTCTAGACTGTTAAATTCAGGTTTAAATACCCATTCATCTCTTTTCTGCTCTTAACAGTATTCAGTATAGTTTCTGTGTTTCTGTATTGGTCACCTTGATTTGGGTTGCAACTGACATCTGGACTGTCTTATTCCCTAGACTCTTATTCCTAGCACTTTCTATTTTTTCTGAATGAAGCAAATCCATGTTCAATCAAGTTCCAAAAATCTCACCTTCTACCCTTAACATTTTGTTAAAATATTTTCCCAAACTATTACAGTTTTTATATGAAGAATTTGGGTGATAGTTAATATAAAAACATAATGCTTTTGTGATGCTCAGATCTTACAGATACTTAAAGATGATGTGAAAGTAATAAAGGGGAAAAACTTGAAACAATCATATATCACTTACCCTCTGGTCTGTTGCTCTATTCTAGTGTCAATTTTTGATCATTTCAGATATACATGTTTACTGCTTACTGGTAAATGACACTCTTTTTTGAAGAAAAAATTTGACTACTGATATTTTATTGTTCTAGATCCCCTCAAAAAATTCCAAAGCAAAGTTCATATGGATTATTTAACTTAGGTAAAATTAATGTGTTCATCATATTCTCATTTTTTTCAAAATATAATGAGCTTCTATTTATTTAATCTATTATATCTTTCACTTCAGTTGATAGCTTTCTTTTTACAGTTCTTATTAACTGATTTTTAATTAGATGTAGTAATAGATACAAACTGCTTTGTTCCAGAGTGTGCACTCAGTAAATATCAGTTAATGGTTGTTGCCATTTTAGAACCCAGATATTTCTTTTAAGGCTTCTTCCTTGTTTTTCTTCCTCCCTCCCTCTCTCCTTCTTTCCTTTGTTTTTTGGTGCTATAGGGGTTTGAACTCAGGGCTCTGTGCTTGCTAGACAGGTGCTCTACTGTTTGAGTCACATCACCAGCCATTTTACTTTGGTTATTTTGCATAGGCCTGCCTGGAGCACGATCCTTCTATTTTACCCTTCCTACTTAACTGGAATGACAGATGTGCACCACCATGTCTAACTTTTCTCTGTTGGGATGGGGGTCTCATGAACTTTGTTTGCCTGGACTGGACTCCTTATTTTTCTTGTTGTTAATTTTGAATGGCATCTTTCACCTGTTTGCTTAGTTTTTGTATTAAAAAAGATAGTGACATCTGTATTTTTTATACTGACTTTTATCAAATGATAAAAGTCAGCATTCTGACTGATATATTATCTATTACCTAATGGACAGTGAATAAAGGTAATAAACTAGAACTAAGCAAACAATTGTGAGGGAGGAGTAAAACAAGCAAGGTATCCAGCACATTAATACAATCTAGGCAGTAATTTTCTTCAAAAATACCTTACAAATAAGAAAAAGAAAAGCAATATATATATATATATATATATATATATATATATATATATATGGTTCTTGAAATTTGAAAGTAGAATCATCATTTTTAGAGGAAACTGAAGTATTTCTATGTTTATTTTTGCATTACTAAATTAGAAAAATACTTCTCATATGGAGTACCTATTGACAACAGTTTAAAAATGACATCTAATCATCAAACAAGTGGCATATGGTAGCTTTTGTCATGACCTGTACCAAAGATGAAGAGAATTGCTGAGGGACCGTTAACTGCATATAGCTAATGAAATTAGCCTTACTGGTAGAGTAGATGGATTAATTGTCCTTGAGAATGTATTCCCCAATTTGCACATTCTAAATTAGGTGATCATAAAAGAGTTATCAACCAGGCACAATGCTGTCTGGGCTCTGAGTCAACATTTGTACTTTTGGTTTATCTTTCTTTGTTGTAAGATGCTCTCCACAGCCCCCAGCATTTTCACAGCAGGAAGCAGAGGTGGTGTAGGGCAGAGAGGTTGTTCTGGGTTTCTCTCTCAGAAGCATCCCAGCATACTACTTTTACATGACATTGACCATGTCTGCATCACATTGCCCTGCTATTCATAAGGACAGATGCAAAGTATTTTATCTTCTAGGCTTCAGCAGTGGGATGCAGATAAGAAAGAAGGAGACTGGGAAATACTTTTGGATAGACAGCCGGCTTGTTCTTTCCAAATGGACAAATTAAAAAAGGACTGTTGAATATAAAAATTATAAAGACTTTTATGTTTAAGTTGGTTGATTACTTAGATTACTATCTGCATATACATGTACATACACACACACATGTGCACATACACCAAAAGAAAATACTTATCAAGGTACCAGTGTGTATGTGTGTACAATTCATATGTGATGAAAAATTGGAAATACATTATAATTTGGTATGTTAAGAATGATCATTCACTTTAAATCCTAAGAAGCTAGTTTTGTAAATGTTTGCATTTCATATGATAATTGAACATATTAGATGGCCTCCTGATACTATATTATGTGTTGTGTATATAGCTGTATATAGCCAGTGTACTACCAGTTCGGAACTTACTATGTGGTGACTATTTTTATTTAGATGATATTTTGAAAATAATTAAAGATGAAGGATTTAAAATACTGATGCAGAGAGAAATAGTATTATCAGAAGACCAAGCAAAAACAGTATGCAAGGAATTTGAAAATGAAGACTATTTTGAGAAACTTATACAAAATATGACCAGGTAAAGCAGAATGCAGGTTTAAAAACCACTGTGCAATTTTGAAAAAAAATTATTTACACCTTTTCTTAACCTTTCTTTTTTATTCAAGTTTGCAAATCTCTAAGTCGATAATAGGTTTCAAGTCTACTTCTTTGTCAGTCATACTCCTGTCTTGATTGTCTGCTCAACTGTCTGTCTTTTTAGTCTTTCTGGGATGTTATTGGAGCAATAGGAAAATCTAAGAACTTGCTAGAGTCCAGTTGAACTGAACAGCAGAAATCCAAAGTGTGCAACATCACCGAGTCCACACAGAGAACTGACTACTCTTTGGTTAGTGGGACTTGGCTTTTGGTTAGGGATTTGATAATCCTACAGACCACTAGTCTTAGGAAAGGAATGGGATACTAGAAATTTGTCAGGTTTCTAGAAGAGTAACTGAAAAAGCAGCCGAGGCACATAAATCAAATGGAGCATGGGAACCATGAGGGAGTTACTTTACAAGGACCAAGACCCTCTCTTCCCTTCCTTTCTCTGCTTCCAACCTCAAATAAATATGCTCTTGAAGGGCTATCAATGGAAATTAATTTTAGACACTTCATGGATTACTTTGACATGTTTTTAGTCAATTTAACAGCCTACACATATGTTATCTATCTATATGTTGTTATCTACTGAGCCATACTTTTATTGACTACTTTTTTCTTTTCTAACAGTGGTCCATCTCTTGCCCTTGTTTTATTGAGAGAGAATGGTTTGAAATACTGGAAAGAGTTACTGGGGCCAAAAACTATTGAAGAATCCATTGAACATTTTCCAGACAGGTAGGATTCATATCATGGGTCCCTAGCTCTTCCCACAGGATGCATTTTAATTTATTTATAGGTGTTGAGTCCTTTTCTCAGGAAAACTGCTTTTCCTGGGGAAGTGGTAGATTGTTTATGATAGAGGTTCTGTCCAATACTAGCTTGAAGATGCCCATGGTTTTGCAAGAAAAGGTTGTGGGATGCTTACATGGGGCTGGGGATGAAAAAGTGAATGCCCATCCAATGGGCTGCCTGTTGGGGGAAGTATCTACTCTACCCACTGTTTAGGAAAAATTCCTTTAGTAAAGTTACAATCACAGGTGCAGTTTGTAGGCGTTTTAACTGAATGTAAGAGTTTAGAGACAATGACGACTAACTGAACTATATACTCTATAATTTGGTGGTAACATTTACGGAGTTGCTTTGTCAATGAATCTTAGAAGCAGTTCATTGTTTAGCACAGTACCTGGCACAAAGGAGATAGCCTCTCAATATTTTTTTATCTTAGTTGTTGGGTTGATAACATCTGGAGGATGGAAATGTTGTCCCCTGCCACTCCACACTTGACGTGTAATTGAAGGAAAACAACAGAGTTGCAGTTTGCTTGAATTCTTCATGCTGACTTCAGGGTAGGATTCAATTCAGGGCAAGAAAGGCCTTTTTTGCCAGTGTGCAAGAATAAAGATCCTCCACAAGGCACGGCAAACTTGACCTACATATTAACACAATAAATAAGAGTATATATGAAACAACACTTACATAAAACTTGAAGTGCTTTCTTTTGGTAGTAGGATATACTTGAATCTTACTTGTCCTATATGGACACATTTGGTCATATTCATTTATCTCTTTTCTCCTGTGCTCCTGTAAAGGATAATATAGGTCAAACATTTTTCAAATAGTGTGATCAGAGTGCCACAGAGCCTTTTACTAAAATGCATAGGATGCAATGCACAGCTTCAGAGGCAGGAATTCCTATCAACACAAAGCCTATACACGGAGGCAAACCAGTCCAGACATCTAGTTCCAAGGGTAGAGGTTGTATCCCAGGACAGACACATTTTCTCTAGCCAAAGGCACTCAGTGATTGTTCCTTTTCTAACTCACTATTATGGTGAGAAATCCAGAAGTTCTTGACTATTATTTTTGTTTGGTCTCCCTTTCCTGTTTCCTTGACTATTCTCAGCTCTAACAGGCTACTTTGGAAATAACTTTCAACAGAATTCTGATGCTCTCCTACATTTCGCTAACGGATTTCCTCTGTATTACTTTGTCTGATACATAGTCACATGCATAAAAGAGAAACACAACAACCCCTTCTTCTTACCTCTGATTCCCTCTATCCCATCTCTCCCCATTCCTACACATTCTCTTTCAAATAATCATGGTTGGATGTGAGGGCGATCTGGCTGCGACATATGTCACCCCATTGATCGCCAGGGTTGATTCGGCTGATCTGGCTGGCTAGGCGGGTGTCCCCTTCCTCCCTCACCGCTCCATGTGCGTCCCTCCCGAAGCTGCGCGCTCGGTCGAAGAGGACGACCATCCCCGATAGAGGAGGACCGTTCTTCGGTCAAGGGTATACGAGTAGCTGCGCTCCCCTGCTAGAACCTCCAAACAAGCTCTCAAATAATCATGGTTAATGCCCAACAGAGGGGCTGGTTGTAGTGCTCTCAATTCAATATAATCAGTGCTACTACTGGCTTAGACTTTTTTGCCATTCATTGTGCAAATTCCCTACTCAGGCTCCAAGGGACATGAAAGGGAAGTATCTACAAATTCAAGGTGTGGGAAAAGCCAACAGCTGATTAGTAAGGTGAAGTGGGATGGGGCAAAAAGAAAATCTGAATGGGTCACTGAAACCAGAAAGGCAATAAGGTCTTGAAGAAAGCCAAGTTTCCAAGGATGTAAATAAGATGTACATTCTTCTGAGCAGGAATAAACATTATTCAGCATAGCTGGATTTTTTGGGTTGACTGCCCAGGACTGAATTTAAAGGACAGAAGTCAAAATGGGCAGAGACCATCTCCTCTACTGAAATATGCATTGGTGAATAAAGAAACAGATAAAAATGACAACTGGCAAAACACCCAGGCACAACAATTGATTTATAAGATCCATAATTTTCTACGGGAAAGGAAGTAGAAGCAGAATGGTTTGACCCAATACAGATTGTTCACCTCTGCCTCTTTCCACAAAACCACCCTGTGTGCTTTTCTTTTATTGCTGTGCTTGCTCATTGAATGGGTTCCATTATGGTATCTCCTAGATTCAGTGTTCACAGTTTCTTGTCTTTGGTAGAGAGTCACATATCATCTAGCACTTGATAATATTGAATGGTGAAGGCAGGGGAAGAGCTATTTAATGAAAGCTCAATTGTACCATATTGTTTCAAATACAACATTTGATTGCATCCTCAAAATCACCTCTGAAGCAGATTTTGTTCAACTAACTGAAGAGAATTTTAATCATTGCCCAATAACATATAACTAGCAAATAGTACAGTCAGGATTCTAGTCTGGGGTTTTTGACTAAGCAGAGTATCCATTCCTTCTTTTGGTTATCTGTCAGTATCCATTATCCCAATGATCCAAATGTTCACATCCTTTATTCCTAATGACTTCTACCTCCTTGAAAGGTAGTTGCATATCCCAAGCCACTGTGTAATTACTTCCCTTTGCATAGTACTAGATCTAGAATGAGTTTCTGTTTCTTGAAATTTTTTGAGCAATCTATATAAAATGTTATATTAGGTGGTTCTATTGTGTTGTAATAGTTTTTTTTCTAACTTGACTTGTTTTTCAAAGTTTATGTGCACAGTTTGCAAAGGAAAGTTTGCCTGTCAGCCAGTTATATGGAAGTGATTCAACAGAGATTGCTGAAAGGGATATAGAGCTTTTCTTTCCTCCTCAGAACACTTTAGCAATAATTAAGCCTCATGTAACACTCGAACAAAGAGGTAAATATTTTAAACTAAGAGCAAATTATACATTTTCCTCTAAAATTTTGTGAAAAATTTGAAATTATAGAAAAATTAAAAGAAAATACAACAGATATGTGTATCCTTTCATTTAGATCCAGTAGTTCACTTTGGTATGTTTACATGTGTGCTTTATTGCAATCTTTCTGTCTGTCTCTCCCTCTCATTCTTAACTCTTTGTCTTTCTTGTAATCAGAATGATATTGAGATATTGAGTGTAGCTCAGTAGTAGACCATGAGCTTAGTGTGTGTGAGCCCTTAGTTCAATCACTACAAAAAACAAGACATTGAATTTTGCTAAAGTCCATTTCAGAGTTGATGTGAATTATGGTTTTTCTCTCCATCAACATATTTATATGGAAAATCATATTAGATTATCATTAATAGTGAGCTATCTTTCCATTCTTGTATAAACTAGTCATGATGCATTTTAAAATATGCTTTTGGGTTTTATTTGCTCATATTTCATTTAGGATTTCTTCCCTCCTTCTCTTCCTCCCTTCCCTCCCTTCTTTCTTTCCTTTCTACCATAAGCTCTCAAGATCTCAATTGGTCCACCTTTGCCTCCAGAATGAAGTTCTCAGAATTTAGACTGTGGGTGAGATCTTGATAAGATTTGCTTTGTTTAATTCCTTCAGTGGTGCTTTGCCTCTTCAGAGAGAGGAGTTCGTCTGAGCTCTTCCCTTCAATACAGTTCTAGCAAGAAATTTTTGGGCATTTGGAGCATAAAGGTGAAAATATGTCTTCATTCTTAGTGTGCTAGCAGATCTTTTCTGTTTCCCTTTGATAGTTCTGAGTGTGTCAGGTTAGCCTCTGGAAAGGTAGATCTTGGATTGAATATCCACATTAACATCCTAAAGTTCTCAGTGTCAGTCTAATTTAGTTTAGCACAGTTCTGGTTTTTAAACCACAGTATGCAAGTAAAATGATTTTCCTCTGTTATTTCAATCTACTTGAACATGGTACAAAAGTGGAACAATCGCAATTACTGAATGTTTGTTTTCTCTAGAGGAGATCATGAAACTCATTAAGGATGGGGGATTCAAAGTAAGCATGATGAAGGAGATGCTCCTAACTCCAGAGGAAGCAAACAAAATTTATTTTAAAATATCAGCAAAAGAGTTTTATAAAGACATATTGGAAGTATTATCTGAGTAAGTTTCTGATATGTAGCTGTTTGAATTATAAAAGTAGTAAATTTTCATTTTAGACATTGTGGGAAAATCAGAAATTAATTAAAGCTTTCCATTTAATCTCACTCATGAAAATGCACCCTATTGACATTTGGGATTTATTTATTTTTCTAGTCCTTTCTTTTTTTGCTTGTGTTCCTCTTCTTCTTCCCTTCCTTCCTTCTTTCCCCTCTGTTTCTTTAGGTCTTCACATTAGATGTAGAAGCTGTCAAGGTTGAAAGTCCTGAATTGTGAGTAGTGAATTTGTGCCTGGAACTTCCTCATCTATAAAATAGGAAGAGAAATAGGACCTACTTCACAGGTTTGTTCTAAGTGCTAAGTAATTGATACACCAAAAGCACTTGGAAGAGTGTGTGTCATATATTAAGTGCTCAAGAAATGCTAGCTATCTTTATTAATATCTCTTTTTCTTTTACATGTCTACATACCCTATCAACTCTTAATGTATACATAATAGATGTATGTAGCTATGTAAATATTATAACACCAAATATGCCGCTTTGAAACTTTCTTTTTCCACATTATGAATCTGTTCCAGGCAACATATACCTTTATAGGCATTGCATAAGAAACATTTGTTGTTTACTTAATTCCAAGCCTCCTGCCATCTATTTGCACTTTATCTCATTTGACCCTTAGAATAACAATGTGAGTACTTGTTACCAGAATTTCCACTTGGTTATGAAGGAAGAGAGGCCCAGGGCTGGAATTTGTCCACAAGCACAAAACTGGTGTTTGGCTGGGCTCTGAACCCAGGGAATCTATGCTCTTAAGTGCTGCTTTTCAGAATTCCATTTCTACAGAGTTCATAATTATTTTGAACATCCATACCTATTCACTTTGAGTTAAAATTTTTGGGCATAATACACACACATTGATTAAGACATCTGTTTACATGTGCATCATCCCTTTGTGACCCCTGACCATGTGTTAATGAGTCTAGAATGGCAATATAGAGTTAAAACAAAAGACTGGCCAGTATATAAGCAGTAGCTAAATACAAGCAAGAAGCAGAAGCCAAGGGATGTTGAGTAACTGCATCAAGACAGCTTAGAAAACTAAATTTTAAACTCTGCTGTAGGTAGCATTCCCTGGGAAGCAGAGTTTAGGAATCAGACTATTTATTGCAGGTACTTACAGAAGGGAAGAGAAAGAAACAGGATGGAATGGAGGGAGAAGTCAAGGCCTAACCCCAGCCTCTGCTGACTACAGCTGGACTGGCCCATCTGAGTTGTTCTGTGTTAGGCTTAGATGGCCAAGACTCCAAACCCTTGCACTGGCCAGTCACTGGATGTTATCCACCTTGTGAATGAGGTTGGCCTGATTAAGGTGGCTTTGTAGTGGAAGCAATCCCCCAGGGGGCCAGAAGCTGATGAGCCGGTCCTTGAAGCCACAAGTCCTGGGTCCATGATAATGTCTATATGGTCTCCAAAATACCAAGGGTGAGAATCCATTGACATATATTCTCCAGAAATAAACTAGAGCACTCATCTAGCACACACACAATCACATTCATTTGACAATGAATGAAGGGTTTCCCAGATGGACCAGATAAATCCTGTCTTTCATTATGTGTGTAGTCTGGGCTGTTGCAAGTAGCCTGCCTTCTTAAAGCATTGTTATTTGCAGGGGCCCCTCTCTGGTCATGGTGCTGACCAAGTGGAATGCTGTTGCAGAGTGGAGACTAATGATGGGCCCAGTAGACCCAGAAGAAGCAAAAGTACTGTTGCCAGACTCCATTCGAGCCAAATTTGGAAAAAATATTTTGAAAAATGCTATTCATGGAGCATCTAATATCCAAGATGCAATAGAGAGCATTGATAAAGTATTTGAAGCAGATGTTCCTGAGAATCCAGAGTACAATGAGAGTATGTAATATGAAATATATACGTCTGTAATTATTATTTTCTTTTCTTTGCTTATTGCAGATACTGAGCCTAGAGCAAGCCTGTTCTGGAAAGATCAGAACCTTTCCCACATTCTCTAGCATGCTAGCATCCTCAAAGCCAATCCTTGCCATTCCAGTGACTTGGCAATTACAGTTACACATAGCTAGGCCTACATTCAGGCTGCAGTGGGAGGAGCGAAGCCCCCCTGAGTTTGTAAGCTTTGTTCTCCTGCTGTTTGTGTCCTCTGCCGTGACACAAAGAATCTCCTGCAGTCCCTGTCCTTGACTCCCCTCCAATGTCTCATTCAGCAGCCTGTATTTGGGAAGATAGAACATACTTGCTACTTATGTGATACAATAGAATATTAAAAATGGAGAAAATATTTTTCCATTGGTGAAGAAGTACTTTTGGGTAGAGGTAGTTACCTAATGTGTATATATGTTAAGTCTCCTTGTTTATCTGAGAGTATGCAGCAGAGATGGAGTGGGAGGTAGAAGACTTTCCCAATAAAACCTGCTTTCTTCTTTATTTTTAAGGAGCAGAATCATAAAGTCCACCATATAGCTCTGGCAGCTGACATGTCAATGACTGTATGTCCTCTTGCTGTGTGGAGTGCTGTCCTGATTTTCATAGTCCAAATTGAGACTCAGTCTTCACAGAAAACTGAGAAAGTGAAATGCAGAAAGCACTCCACACCCAATAAGTTTCCTCAGGAAGATGAGAGCATATTGTTCCCTTAATATTGTCACTTAGGTTATTTTTTATCCAGCATTAGAACATGAATCAAATTGTATCTGTAGAAAACATCAGTGAGTTCTGTGGAGGTATATCTTCTTCCATAAGTGTGACTCACAGAGCAAGGCATGATAGGAAAGCCCACGAACATTCATGTTAGAAAATGTGTATTGTATAGCTGACATGATTTGTGAGCTCTTGGTTAATACAAAACTGGTTGAATGAAGCTTGTTGTCTCTAAGAAAATGTAATTCTAATGGAATGACAAGTGATGAATGATTAGTGGGGCTGGGGGTTCTCAGTCAAGCTACGTTGTGTTTGTAACTTCTGTTAGCAATGAGTCTCTCTCTTAACACTTCATATCCCTCCTTTTTATGGCAGGGGAAGCATTATCATTCATTGAGTGGATCTTTAGTTAGTGCAAAATTCTTTGATGAGTTCTGTTTCATGGGCAGAAGCTGGAGAAGGCAAAGAATGAAACAGATATTGAAAAATGGATAGGATTTTCAAAGTCAGAGATAAGGAGGCAAGAAAGAGAATTCAGTTTTAAAAGTTTCTAAACTGTCCACATATACATAAAACTCTTGTTTTACTTGGCTCTGTCTTATCACTCTGAGTGCTAGTGTTAGCCAAGAGTCATTTGTCCAGTTCTTCCTACATACCAAATACAGTTGTAGAGCTGGATATACACTGTCCCTGGGCTAAAGAAACGGGAGATAGAAAATGAGCACATCACCTAGGATAACTGAGGTAAGCATGAGTGCTTTGGGCAGATACATATAGGAGGTGGAGACAGAAGGAATGATATATAACTTTCCAGGCAGGAGTCATGGCAGTAATCACAGTGAAAGATTAGAGTAAGTTGGGCAATTTGGGAACAGTGAGTTTAGCATAGGTGGAATGATCAGATAATTCTTAGAAGACAATGGTCATCCTGAGGACTTTATGATTGACTACCACCCTACCTGAGGGGTTGGAAAAGATAAAGCTTCCTGACTTCAGTAACTGAGAAAATGATCTAACCATTCCCAGTCAGAGAATTCAGAAAAGAGAAGCAGGTTGAAGGAAATACCATGAGTTATGTTTTGGTCATGTTGGGCAGAAGATATATGAGCTGAAAATAAGTCAGATTTCCAGAGCAGTGGTGTTAAGACTCCAATGTAGTGACGTAATACAATGTACAATGTAGTGATGATAGACTAGGCAGCTCCAAGCTCCCAGTGATCAGAAGAAATACCCAGAAACTGTCAGAAACATTGAAGAAATAACTGGAAATTGTCAGAATTCTGGGAAATAAAGATTTACTGAAACCAGTAAAGATTGCTGAATCAAAGTAAGAACAACTTAAAATAGCATGAAAGCTTTGTGGAATTTTTACTTGATCTTATTCTACCACATTCTAAAATGGGAGCCTGCATTCCCTGTGTGACACCCTAACCTTGGTTCAAAATAGATAGAAAGGGTCTGTTTTGCTCACAAATTATTGTATTGATCTATTTTGACTTTCTGAACAAGGCATTCATGTCTATTTCATCTAACCTGACATCACTCAGGTGGAAAAGCAATGAGTATTGCTTGAAAATATTATATAGTGATAGAGAAATCCATGATTGTCTTGGGTCAAAGATTATAGTCAAGATGTATAAATGCCACCTGAAGTCAGGGAAGAAAAGTTATGGAGAAGTGTTTCAGAAATTAAAGCATTCAAAAGCAGTAGTACACACTGGGGAGTTTAGAAAGCTATGCACATACCCAGACAAGTTGTGTGTTCAGAAAAGACCTAAAAAGACACTAAACTTTTCCACCAGTTGACCTACAGAATCAATACAAGTAGAAAGTGAGGACAGAAGCAGAATTGTAAGTGACTTAAGTATTAAAGAAGTGTTTCAGCACAGAAACTATCAGTATATTTGGTGAGATGTTTTGTTGCTGTTGTTTTAAGCTGCTTTGAAGGAACTGTTAAAAAAAAATAAAACTTTCCAAACACAAAGTAAATCTTCAATAATTAAGAAAGCAACCCTTGGGAAAGGGAGAAAAATCTGATTTTAAAACCAAGTTTGTATTTTTCAAATTAGATTGCTATAAATTAAAAAATATTAATTGTAGATCCTAAGGTTACCACTAAGAAAATAACTGAAATAATTTCACAAAAGAAAAGAAAAGAATGGAGAAGGGAATCAAAATGTTATATTATCAAAAAATCAACTAAATTCCAAAATAGGCAGTAAGAGGAATAGAGGAAGAAAAAACACATAGGAGTTACAGAAAACAAATAGGTGACTAACAAAAGTTAGTCCCTCCTAATCAGTAATTAGGTCGAATATAAATGCAGCAAATTGTCCAATTTAAAGGTAGAGATTGGCAGAATGGATTAAAACACATGATTCATCTATGTGCCATCACAAAAGACTCATTTTAGATCCAAAGATACAAAAGGGTTGAAAGTAAAAAGCTGGAAAAGTAGGAAAAAGTAGGAAAGTAGTTCGAAATTATGGTTGTATTATTATCACAGAAATATGTTTTAAGACTAAAAGGTAACTATCCAATTCATAAAATCCATGATATAGCAGTTTTAAACACATATGCACATAACAGTAGGAAAAAAAAGGACTGTTCTACAATAATTGTTGGAGTCTTCAGTACCCTTATTTCAGTAATGTATAAAATAAAACAGACAAAGAAATAGAAAATGAGCGACAGTGTAGACCAATTAGACCCTAAAGAAATGTATGGGACACTTGATCTATCAAAGATAGAATACACATTCTTCTCAAGGACACATGGCACATTCTCTGGTATGTTAGGCCATTAAAAAAAAAAAAAAAAACTAAAGAAATTAAAAAATATTAAAGTCACATTAAGTATGAAACTAAAAATAACAGAAGGACACTAGAAAGCCCAAAAGGATGTGAAAATTAAGCAATGTACTCTAGTAACCAATGGATTAAAGAAATAATCACAAGAAAAATTAGAAAATACCTTAAGATAGATGAAAATGAAAACCCAACAGACCAAAACGTTAAGGGAACATAGTTCTAAAATGGAAATTTAGAGCTACAATGATTCTATTAAGAAAGAACAATCTCAAGTCAATAAACTAAAAGTATACTTTAAGGAACTAGGAAAAAAATAGAGCAAATTTAACCCAGACTTAGCAGGATGAAGGGAATAATGAAGTTTAATGTGGATATAGTGAAATAGAGGCTGGAAAAACAGAGAAAAGTCAGTGAAACAAAACTATGGTTCTTTAAAAAAGATCAAGAAAATTGCCAGGTGCCAAAGGCTCATGTCCTGTAATCCTAACTACTCAGGAGGCATAGCTTTTCTCAGTTTATCATTTCCTACTAAACTCCTTATCTCAACCCAATGCTATCCTCTCCTATAGTAAATTTCTTTTCAATTGCAAAATTTTAGCAGTTGCAGAGCCCTTTTCAATTGTAAATCCTCTGCCCTAGTAAGACAGGAAGCCTTGAGGCAATTCTGCTCTGTCCTCAATTACCTCTCAGATTAAAGCCCTTTGCTTAAAACATGAATATTGATCACAGCTCATACATGTAATTAAAATACTTGAGAGTCAGTATAAATGCCTGTGCAGAGTACCCCATGTTGTATGACAAGACCTTGTCAATCAAATCTGTCAATCACCCTAGCCCATCCTGAAAAGACCGCCCAGATTTTTCCTGACCTAGCCCTTTCCATTTATAAGGACCCTTTCAACAAAGACCAGGCACCAGAGACACCAGTGCTTCTATCGCTGGGTAGGGGGCACCACTGCTTTCTCTATAGTGACTTCCCTTTACTTTCAATAAACTTTACTACATTTCTAAGTCTTGCCCGGGTTCTTCTCATGTGGAATGCAAAGTGCCTAGGAGTCTTCTGTCCAGAGCCCTTAGAGACTGTCCATCCAGTAACAAAAGGATAGGGGTATGGCTCAAGTAGTAGAGTGCTTGACTATCATATGTGAGGCCCTAGGCTTAATCGCTGCTACCACAAAAAACAAAACAAAACAAAATGAACAAGCAAAAAAAGTCTACAAAAGCAACAAAACAGAATAGAAAAGAATAGAATAGAACAGAAATAGGCCCATGGAGTTACAGCCATCGACTTTTTTGATGAAGGAGCCAAAAACATACATTAGAGAAAAGACAGTCACTTCAACAAAAGGTATTGGGAAAACTGGATGTCCACATTTAGAAGACTGAAACTAAACTTCTGTCTCTCACCCTGTACAAAAATCAATTCAAGATGGATC